TGGCTTGTCATTGTTTTGTTATTGAAAAAAGTATTTCTAATGAATAGAGTACTAATACAAAGGGAGAAGCAGCACCTCATTCAGTGTTGAGGTAAGGAAAATAATCTCAAGAGATAAAATTCTTAAACAGAGACTCAAAGCTTGGATAGGAACAATCCAACTATATGAAGAACACAGCATCAGGATTGGAGGAAGACTCATTAGCTATCTGCAGGATGAAGATGATACCATCTTGCTGAAAGTTAAAAAGTCTAGAAGCCCTTATTGAGGAAGATCCAGCCTCCAGGATGGATTACACCTAAACAAAAAGAAAACAAAAATCTCTACCACTGCACCAATATGCAACAACATGATAAATGGAGGAAAAATTGTAGTTGTCAAGGATTTCCTTTTACTTTCATCCAAAATCAACATCCATGGAAGCACCAGTTAAAAAATTAAACAACATAGTGCATTGGACAAATCTGCTGCAAAAGACCTCTTTAAAGTGTTAAAGAGAAAATATGTCACTCTGAAGACTAAGGTATGTATGACCCAATCCATAGTAATTTCATTAGCCTCATATACATATGAAAGCTGGACAGTGAATCAGGGAGATTACAGAAGAATTGATACATTTGAATTGTGGTGTTGGGAAGCATATTGAATGAACCATAGACTGCTAGAATAATGAACAAATCAGTCCTGGAGGAAGTACAGCTGGAATGTTCCTTAGAAGTGAGAATGCCCAGACTTCATCTCTCATACTTCAATCATGTTATCAGATGGACCAGTCCCTGGAGAAGGATATCATGTAGAATGTCAGCAAAAAACGGAAAGACCCTCAATAAGATGGAGTGTTACAGTGGCTACAACAATGGGCTCAAGTATAGCAGAGATTGTGAGAATGGTACAGGAGCAAGCAGTGTTTCATTCTGTTTTAGGTAGAGTCACTATGAGTTAGAGCCAACACTATGGCAACTAACAACAAGAAGTATAGATAATTGAATGATTCAAATATCAAACAACATGTTCCAAAAAAAAAAATAAATAATTAAGAGACAACATGATTCCTTCCTTCTTCAGAGGAATCATAATGATAGGGGTAGAATGATGAGTGGCAAAGAGTTCACAAACGGAGAAGTAAACAGAGGCTTGGTTGTGAAAAGTCTCATATACTCTACTAGGTGAAATCTAGAAACTGCAGGATATTGTGCAAGGGAGTGGCATGACCATACATATTTTTAAAAGATAACAATATTGCTAATATTGATAAATGGATTGGACTTAGGCTACCCGGAAGTCAGGTGCATTGGATAAAATAGTTTTGCTGTAATCTAGATAAGAGATAAATGTGGTCTGAACCAAGGCTCAGGGAAAGGCAGAGGAAGATACAACTGGGCTAATTCTGTTTGGAACTACTGCTGCATACAGCTATGAGAACCTTAAGGGACAAACAGGCTCACAAATTGTGGCCTGCAGTACCACCTGACATCTGTATTGTGTGGAACTTAAGAACAGCTGCTAGTAAGCATGGACAAATTCAATGTATGTAAACACTTTGCAAAACATCATCAATCTCAAATAAATGACTGAAGGCACATAGAAAAGTATGCTGTTTTACACACAATACAGTTGTACTCAATATGTCCATTCATTCATTCCTCAAATATTGATTGAGAGGCAACAAGTGTCAGTTACTTTTCTAAGGATTGTGGACACAGCAATCAACAACAGACAAAAACTCCTGCCTTCACAGAGACTACCTTCAGGTGAGGAGAGAAAGAAAATAAAGCAACTAGCTAAATAGTATGCTAGATGGTGATACTCGCAACAAATACAAACGCAATGCACTGCCATGTACTGTGGAGAAAACTAAGGGAAGAAAAGATTAAGAAGTGTCAGGGTAGGGGCAATATGAAACTGTAAAAAGGAGGAGCACAGTTCACTGGTAAACTTTGAGAAAGAAAATGACACATCAAGTTTGCAGCTATCTAGATATTAGAGCAGAGGGAATATTCTCACCTTATCATGATGTTTTAACCTAAAATATGTAACTGGTTTGATGGTCTCTTGTTTTAATAGTGTAAGGTATGTTTCTGTCTGGCAAACAGGTTGATGCTATGGCTGGACACAGATGAAATGACCTAATTCCTTCTTTGAAGCCCCTGGTGGCCACAGCTCCTTAGAGCCAGATCAAGGGCTGGGGTATGAAGCAGTTTCTTCCCTGGAAGCTGCTGGCTCATCCCTTTGAGGTGCATATGAAAGCATCTCTCAGGCACTGATGTTCACAACCCAAATCTAGCTAACATCAGTTGTGACTTCACTTAGTTGTTTTTCTGTTAGGAAAAAAAAGTTGCACTTTTTTCTTTATAAAAATCACATGTTCAAAGAAAGTAATTTTAAGTGGAAGAGAAAAAAAAAAGTAAAATTAAAAATCACTTACCGTTTTCCATCTTAAGATAAGCAACATTCATATCTCAGGCTTTGACCTTCCAGATAACACTTAATGGCGGGGTTGTCATATTCCTTTAAATGAAGAAGACATGATTCTTTTTTTTTTTTTTTCCGAACAGCATTCCACTGTGCAGATATAACACTCAAGTGACTATTGACTGTCATAATCTTTTAGAGGCTACACACTGCTCTTGTGGGTATATAATTCTCATTAGATCAGACAAAGGTTAGTGTGTTCTATTAGCAAATTCACGTGGCTTGTATGTTTGTGACTATATATATATATATATATATATAAAACTTTTATTGACATACTTTTATTGGGGAAGACTTTTACTTGAATTATTATAAGTGCCAAATTTATTTGAGTAAAGAAACCTGTTGGAGAAATCTATCATAATTTCAACATACAAACAGTAAGACAACTGCTCTTTATTATCCAATCATTGAGAAAGTAGCATAACATCTCTGAGGCTCAGGATCTTAATTTGTGATGGTGATATCACCACTTTTATATCTGTTTGTTAGTAGGAGGAATGACTATGTAAAAGTACCTTGTAAGTATAAAATGACATGCTAATGCAAGGGTGTTATTAATTTATGATGACAGTCCTTTAGTGCTTCAAATCTCCTGTTTATAACTCAACCTTCAATGCTTGCATCTTCCAACTACAGGATCTCAAAAGGACCAAAAACTCTAACATTAAACTACAGTGCCCCCTAGCCCATGTAGGAGGTCAAGGCAGCTGATTGGCTGCGGTAGTGAGCTTCACCACAGATGGCTTTATTTTATCACTTGCCTGAGGGAAAGGATAGTAATTTTTATTTTTGGGTGATTTCCATCTGCCCAAAAGGAAAAAAAGAAAAAAATATATTTCTGTATTTTCTTCAGTATTTTCCAGTACCATTGTCTTTATTCTTAATAAAAAAGAATAAACAAATGCAATATTTAAATTTTCCTCCTACAATTTGCTTTAAATGAAATTATTTATAAAAGAGGATCACTAAGTTAATCCTGAAACCTATTGTAATATTTCTGATTTGTATTTGATTGCCTCTTTTCATTTGCCAAATTTTTTATAATCCAGATTGAGAGAGGATTTTGGTAACAGCTCTTTTCACAGAGGGGAAATATGGGGTTAAGCTTTTTTGCAGGATTGCACAGCAAGCTGTGATTATTAGCTTCACCCCCCTAGTTCCAATATGAGTTAAACCCTCCAACAGATACAGGATTGTGGGGGAGAGTGGAAGGCCATCAAATATTTACTTTTCAAAATGTAGAAATATTTGCTTTCATGGCTCATAAAAGCCAAGATTAAAATATATCAACTGCTCCCTTCTATGGCTGCAGTTCTCTGTTTAGCTTCAATTCTTAATTTCATTCATTTGTATATATAGAAATTTTTAAGCTCACATGGTTCTCTAAGTAAATTGGATCCTAAAGTGTTAAGTCCTTAGGAAATTGAACTTGTTCTATGGGTTTTTTGTGCATGCTGAACATTTCAGTATTAATCGACGCAGCGTTCAGGGATTTCTTGCTAACATGCTTTTGTCTGTAAGATTAGGGCTGCAATTCATTACACCATGGGCTAAACCAGAGGTTTTGCTAAGATTTGCCTGCCTTGACTGTTCATCTCAGATTTACTGGGAGTGTGTATTTGCGTGTTTGTATGTGTGTATACTATATTGGTGACCAGATTTGAAACATTACTCAATCTTGGTTCTCTTCTCTTTAGGGGTCAAAGATCATTTTAGCCACCTTGTCATTTCTATTATCTACTGAGGCAGCACATGTGGAAGCATAAAACTAAGTGACTTTTCTCACTATTTCTTTTTCTCTCTCTTTACATTTCTTTATCAACCTGGCCCAGAAAATATTCAAGAAATAAAACATGACTCTTCATCACCTACTGGGTTTCTGTGATTTGATCACTTCTAAGTGAAAAGCTGCAATACGCCAGCAAGGGGTCTTTGAGTTTTTTTTTAAATTCTTTTTAGTATTCTTTTATTCTTCTTACGTACAACTAACACAAACAAGAACAACAATCCACAGCCAATAGCAAAGAAGATGTGGGCACATGGCAGCTTCACTTTTCCCGCTGCCTTTTAAAGTTGGTAATAACCAAACCAAATTCTGGGTGGAGTCCATTCAGACTCTTAGTGACCCTATGAGAGGACAGAGTGGAACTACATCTCAGCTTACCCAAGGGTGTAATCTTTAGGGAAGCAGACTGCCGCATCTTTCTCCCGCCGAGCAGCTGATAGGTTCGAACAGCCCACCTTTCTGTTAGCATTCAAGCGCTTTAATGATTGCGCCACCAGGGCTCCTTTTAAACTTGGTACAGGAGGCTAAATTTTAGCGAAGATGAAGGCATTCATGGGAGGAGCGGGATAAAAGTGTGTCTAATTAGACGTTAATGGCAGAACTCGCCTTAAACATGTCCCCTCCCCTATACTGGTGAATTTCTCCTGTGTGTCCATGTGTGGATTCAGAGACCCTTCTCTCTTTAAGAGAGCCTCCCGCGCCCCCTCACTCCGCCCCTTCCCAAGTCTCTGGGCTCGTCAAAGCTTCCCGAGAGCCATGGTTGGTCCAGGCAAGCAATCCGAGCACCTCATGGAGCGGCTGCTAACCGGGGGTGGAGTGGGGTGGGGTGGGGTGAGGGGGTCTGTTTGTAGTACTCTCAGTCCTGATGTCACAGACGCGGCAAGGACATCGCAAGGAGGAGTCGGATTACAGTAAGGATGGGCAGTGCAGCAGGCAGCCCGAGCGCACACTCCAGCCGCCGGGGCTTGTAGCCGAGAAAAGGCTGCCTGCAAGGCGCTCATCCCGTGAGGAGGCACGCTCGGCGCTCGGCGTTCTCCACGCCAGGGACATTTCCACCGAATGTGGCATGGAAAGGCTCTGCTAGGCGTGTCAGCCTTGGGTACGCGCTGATGCTGAAGACGCCGCGGTGGGGTTCCGGCTGTAAGATTAATGAGAAACATAATGTATTTTGGTAAGTGTCAGCTCTGATGATGTCATTCTGGGGGTGCCCAGGTCTTATCAGTGCAGACAAGCCATTGGGAAAAAAAAAAAAAAAATCTTTAGGCTGCGAGAATATATTGCGTTAAACCTACCTCCAGTTCGCAACTAGAGGACCAAGCTTCCTTTGTGCTTCGTTTGGAGCTGTTAATTAGTCGTGGATGAGTTTAAGTTGTAAAAGAAAAGAGGCAGGAGTGGGGGGTGGATAAACTTTGCCTTGATTTGTCTGCATGAAGTTGGCTTTTTAGCTAGGTGAAGAAGGGGAAATGGTGCGGCGTGGGAAGTCATCGGCTAAGTTAAATGGAAGCAAAACAAAGTTCCCATGGTATTGATGCTGCGAAAGCCTAGTCAATATCGGTATTTCATTAAGCGTTTGGTTTTTCCCTAATTCTGAGGCAGAAAGGGAAAACATTCTCTAGTGTGCAGTGGTTGAGCAGCTCAGAACACTCCTCCATAACGCCCGAGTTCTCCGTTTCGCTAAGAGCAGTCTAGCACTAAATGTATATTATTTTATGCCTTTGGAGGTCTCGGAGCTGTTAAATATTTGTGCAGTTTAGTTTTGTGCCACGGTGGGAACCTCCCTTAGCGTTTCAGCTGAGCTGGCTGCATTTCCAGAAAACATGTTGAGGCTTAGAGCTGAGCTATCCTTGAGCAGTGTAAGCGGGCTCCAAAATAACCCGCTGCCCTCAAGTGGATGAGGCTCATAGCTACCCTATAGGACAGAGTAGAACTGATCCATAGGGTTTGCAAGGCTATCAATCTTCAGGGGAGCAGATTGCCATATCCTTCTTCCCTGGAGTGGCTGGTGGGTTCGAACTGCTGACCTTTCGAGTGGGAGCTGAGTGCTTTAACCACTATGCTACCAGGGCTCCTTCTGTGAGAGGGCTTGGAGCTGTACAAATGCATTGTAATGCTGCAACTTACTGCTAGGAGAGGAAGCAAAACCCTTTCACTAAATAAGAAGCCAAGGATTAGGACTGAATATACTTTTTACCTCCCTGAAATTATGTTTTCCTTCTGTAAGTCCCATCTAACATCATCACTTAAGGACATCTATTTAATATTAGAAAGTTTGTGAAAACAACTGGAGAGCCGCTAGGAATGATTCCAATATGCAAATACTCCAGGTGATTTCTTGATTTGCTTTAAATATTCAGCCTAGAGACTACTTTCAGATTTAATAAGTATTTAGTCCCCATTTAGATGAACTTGGGTTGGAACAATATTAGTTTGTGGGTGTTTATTTCCATGTGTACTGTTTGTTTTAACTTCTTGAGCCTTTGAAACTATTTGAGAAAGTATGGAAGGAACCCAAGTTGCAAAAGATAAACGCCATTAGTTGTCTTGACAGTAATTTTGATTTCCCTATAATTTGTGTCATATTAGAAATGATGTCTTAAAATAACCAAAATTGATTTTGAAAAAAAGAAAAATCCTCATTTCATAGCCAAATTTAAGCAGAATGGGGTGCTAAGCATGTTTATTGACAATAAAGTAGCAAACATTTATCATGAATGTATTTTTTGTTAAATAGAAAAGCTGGCAGAGACAATATGTCTTGAAAAAAAAATATCAGCATCTGTGGTTATTGAGTTATAATGAAGTAGATTATAATGTTAACATAAATTTTCAGCCTTTTGCAAGAATTGTTTATGTGATTGTGGTAACAAAATAGGATTGACCAGAGTAGCGGTATAGTTTAAAAGTACTGATCAGAAGCCATCCATGTTGTACTGGATTATCATGTAACTGTTGGAGAAGTGCTCACTGAGCTAGCTCATGTTATTTACTGTATGTTAGTCCTGCCTGCTTGTAAAGCAGGATGATTCACAGGGTAATTAGTTTCATTGTGTAATGCAAGTTTTTAATAGTACAAATTGAAATGTGATGTTCTACTTAGATGAAACTATACTCTTTTAGAGATGGGTAACACAAAGTAACCCTCTGTGTCGTGAGCATGGTTCAGTGTTACCATAATTCTAGCATGAGATATGGTTTTCTATTCCTGGAGGAAATCGCGTACATTCAGGAATGACACTTTTTCCCTTGCTATGCAGCCCCTTACTCAAGCTGTCTTGAGTAAGACTTCCAGAATTCTGAGAGCCCACCTGTCTCTAATAAAAATGAGTGGTACATGAGCTAGGGCAAGAAGAATTGAGCAATACATCCCAGGCATGTTAAGATTCAATAGCATTCTAATGTTTGCAAATCCCTAAGGCTGCATATTACTTATAAAGGAATATGTATGTGAATGTGTTTGTATACACATACATGTGTGAATATGGTTATGTATATGTGTGTATATATATGTATGTGTGCATTATATATATGATCTCCCAAAATTTGGCCATTTCAGGTAATTTTTCAAAACAACGCTTTCACTTTGCAATTTGGTTGGCCATTACTTCCTCCCTTTTAGAACTGCAAATGGTCTATCAAGTCAGGGAGAAAAGGGACAAAGGGAAAGAGGTGCTGCATTCTTGGGCTTTTCTGGTGATTTATGGGAGTGGGGAGTGTATCTGAAGTCTTCCATTTGCATAGCAGGAAGTGTGAAGACTTTGGGGATACTATGGCATGGGATGAATTGCTTTCAAGCAGGATATTTACTTCCCTATAAATAATCTAATTTGTCAGTGTTTGCCTCTCTTCATATATAACTAAGAACCATTGCCTGAATAGGCTGGCACAGCTGATCTCCTTCTCTTTAAGCCTCCTTCCCCTTAAGCACTGGACAATTGGACCCTGTCTTAGCTCTTTTGGAGTCAGTTGTATGTGTGCGAGTTGCATGTGTGTTCATGGAATATGTAATATTTACTATGTTCTCAGTAATAGCTCACATTTTGAGTATGCTCTCTCAGACTTAAAAGACTAATGGGCCCTTCTAATGACTTAAACCTCACTCTTATCTCCTGTTGAAATTTTAGTGCAGGGTTTTCAATAATTGTTCATTTGCACTTACTGTGCAGTGATTTAAGAGAGTTTGCTGTTCAGTCACCGTGGATACTTTTGTTACTTATTCTATTGATCTTGCATTCATTACTTGGAGTTAAATATAAGGTTCACACGGGAGAAAGACGCAGGGAAAATCCCAATCAGCAACCTAATCGGGATTTATTGTAAAAGAAAAGAAACATAACAAACACTTGTGAAGTTACCCTTCCCACCCCCATAAATATTTTATATAGTTAAAAATTACATTTGCCAAGGATGAATAGGCATTAATAATTTATCCAGAAATGAAAGCAAGGCAGCTGGGAGACTTCTCCCAAGATTAGGAAGAGAGGCTGTGGGTGGTTGTCAGCATAACAGACCTGAGCCGACGGGGTACAGTTTGGTTAAGATGTGCGTGCTGTTATGAAGCACAGGTTCTTTGCTTGAGTGCATCTGGATGATTTCACAGCACCCAGCAGAAGGTTGTAACTGTGCACTGTCTCCAGCTCTCATCACCATATGTCTGAATCATCTTCCTCTTCCCATCTGGTCCAGCACATTTCACCACTGCTGGAGTGGTGAGTCCTTGCCAGTGGTCATATCAAGCACACATAGAATCCATGGTTGGCCAGAGAGGTGCCATGTTGCAACCTTGGTCATCAGGAGAGAAATGAGAGGCTTCCTGCACTGAGGAAATTCTATGTGGCTGAAAATCAGTGCATTACCAGGCCACAGGCAACGAGATTGAGACTGCAGTGAGTTGATAACCAAGAAGGGGTTGGGTCTTTTGCCATGAGAACATTCCTCATAAAGAAGTGATACACCTTAGACACATGAGCAGAACTGAGAGACAAATATTAGAAGTCACTCTAAATGTTGCTATTAATGATCTATTAATTAAACCTGGAGAAAAGGGCAAGTAAAATTTAGAATGTGTGAACAAGCCATTGGAGTTCACCTTGATGTTAATTGTGCATCAACTGTCTTGCTTGAAATGCCTAAGAAAAATGCTTAATGTTGTGCCTACTATAGCAAAAAATGCTTGATTAAGCAAGCTTTTAAAACATCAACTGGGGGGAAAAAAATCTAAGAAAATTCTAGAGCAGAGACCTGTTCACTTGCCTATAACAGACATGTTTGTACATTGCCATAGGAAGGACTTATGTTTTCCCCCTGGGGTGTTTAGAACATTTCCAAATCAGCATTTACACCTTTGGTGGTGGTTGGACCATTATGCTTTACCTCCACAGCAATATGTTAGGAAAACAGTTAAGCAACAAGGTTATGAGGAAGGAAATGATCAGAAAACAGCAGGCAGCTCACAAAGCATTTCTCTTTTTTAGTGTTTTCATTGGAAACATTTAACTCGTCCTAATTAGTTTGTACTGAGTGATCTGTTATGGGGAATTAGGTCCACTCAAGTCTTCCTAACTGCTCAGGAGGGGCTTCTGTCTTCCTGAGGCTATCTCGAGGAGAAAGTAATTTAGGAAACAACTTGTAGGTTCAGGTTCCACCTATTAAAGTTTGAAGTCATGGCAATTATGTCTCATTATAAACGAGTATAAATGACTACTTAAGAGGGATGGAGAATGTGACAGGTGAATACTGTTGGAAAGAATCATATACAAGCTTAAAATCTCAGAGAACTTCAGAAGCCATAAAGACTTCTCCCTGAGAATGTTCTCTCTTAAATTCATACAAAGATCTTATTTTAAGTAGCCAAATTTCCAAATTTGACCATTATGGTAGTGATGGGTTCTGAACACACCCTTACATTTTTAGCTTTTTTTTTTTTTTTTTTTTTTTAAAGGAACTCCTTACTTGCTTTAATTATATGGAAATAAGATGGGTTTATTTAAAGGATAAGTTCCAAAATTCATGAGATAATGACGACTTGCAAAGTTACCCTTTTGTGGGTGGCATAATAGTTCCAAAAAACAAATGAAAAATTTAAATTAGTGGTTTCCGACTTCCATTCCAGAAGATTTGGTCACAGCTGCCTTTGCCTGAAACCTCCCTTTAGAAGATGTATTGGTGTGTGTG